GGCCCCGGCCCCGGCCCCGGCCCTCCCACGCGCTCCCAACAGGCAGGCAGCAGCCAGAGCGGCACTGGGGCTCCTATTGGGCTACTGGAAACGATGTCGACTCCTTTCTGGCTTGGCCGGCTTCAGTGTTGGAAAAAGGCACGTTTGCACTGGCAGGGTCTGGAGCGCAAAGTGATTCCCCAGCTCGCCGCCCTTCCCCCTTCCCCCTCCTGCTCCGCGGAGGCGCAGGAGCAGCCGCCACGCGCCCCTCCTCGGAGTCACTCACCTCCTGCGTGTCGGTGTAGTAGCTGTTCCAGTCGCTGGTTTCATGCCCTTCCATTTTCACAGTCCCTAACATCATGCAGCCAACCTGCCCGGGGTAACCATCCAGTCCTTCTGCGAGCCGCGGGCAGCGGGGCCGGAGCGCAGGAGCCCCAGCCTAGCAGGGAGCCAGCCCTTGAGCAGGGGGGCTGGATTCCCGGGCTATAACGAGCCAAAACGGAGGCAGGGAGCGGTGTGGGGCGAGACACTTGAGAAAGTGAGGAAGTGCCGGCTGGGATGTGAGTGGAGTTGAGCTGATGTGGATCTTACGTCGCAGAAGTGCCCACCTCCTCCTCCTCCTCTCCCCATTTGTCCGCCGCACAAAGACGTTCGCACCTACAAAGCCGGAGATGCACCTGCAAACAAGGCAGCTCCACTCGCTTGCAACTCCCCCGGGGCGGCACTTTATTTGCAAAGCAGTGTAATTGGTTTAAACTATGGGGAAAGAAGGCGAGAGAGAGCGAGGTGGGAGGGGAAAGAGAGAGGAGCGGAGGAAAGGCAAAGCGACTCCTTTCAAATGGCCAGGGCAAATGCTAGCAAGGGATCGGGGGAAATGAAATGAGGGAGACAAGGAAGGGCAGCCCCCTCTGTTTGGATAGGATGCAAAAGGCCGGCCAGCCTCAACCCTGAGATTAGGGGGCCATGTTTGCTAAAATACAGTAGATGCTTCTTTAACTTGAGGAGCGGGATGTGCTCCGAAAGCCGAGTCCTGCGACCAACACGCGCCCCCCACCCTGAGATCTAGTCCTCATCACACAATTCTC